CAAATCAAGCGCGGGATATTTAAATCCCGGGCTTGATTTGCAATTTCAGTCGCCCTCATTAGCCTCCCTAGATCGATCTAGGGGGCTAATGTAGAAAAGAAAAGACTCTTCACCAGCTGTAAGTAGGGCAAAGACTAGATAAATCCTTCAGGTTTTCTTGTTTTCTTGTTTGGGAATTTGGATATAAGGTGTATGTGTTAGAAATGTTTTTTTCCTCCCTTCTATAACTAAGTCCTGAGCCCATGGGAATCCCCCATGAGTTTATTAATTTGTGACTCTTACCCTCCAGTCACCTTAATCATGTTTGCGACTGTAATCTTGTTTCAGTAATAAAAGGTTATTTTCTTTTTCTAAGTAACCGGTATTGGTTCATTTTTGTGTCCTGGAAGGTCTGTGTGTACATCTACTTGCCTGACAGAGAGGCAGCCACAACAAACTGCAATTTGTATTTTCTCTTTTCTTTTTCAAGCTCTTTGGGGTTGGTTTCAAGTGTTGGTTTGTGGGTTCAAAAGCATTTGATGGTGGCAGCAGATTTGTGTATCCCCTTAATCCCCAGGCTGCTGACCATCTCTCATGACCATGACAACATCTTACATAGCACTTTATGTGTTTCATGATAACTGTTTGTTACCTCTCTTTGTTCCTGATATCTCGGACAAAACATTCCTATTCATTAGTTTGTCAAACCATCTTATACTTGATGGGAACATACCTGTAGTAGCTGGAATACATTGATGTAAATAGCTGGAGCCTAATACGCTAGCAACAACTTTGGCAAAATCAGGCACTGGACAGTGGACTTGTGAACATCTACTTCGATATATGGTTTGACTCTTGTTGACAGCTTCTGATTCAGACCTAGATTTTACACAGGTTCTCGCTCTACTACATACTGAATTATAGAAATGTAGGGTCGGAAGGGACTTCAAGAAATCATCTAATCTATCCCCCTGCACGGTGACCATCCCTGACAGATATTCATCTAGCCTGTTCTTAAAATCCTCCAGTGATGGGGATGCTGCAACTTCCCTGGGTAATCCATTCCATTGTGTAGCTATCTTTAAAGTTAGGAAGTTTTCCCTAATTACCTAAATCTCCCTTCCTGTAAACTAAGCCAATTTGGACAGTTAAAATCCCTGGAAGTTAGACCAGATGACCTTTGCAGTCCCTTTTTATATGTCTACGATTCCTTTGGTGGACATGGAGAACAATTGAACATTGTGCTCTTTATAACAACCTTTTACATATCTGTTCACCCCAATTAGTCATGACTTTTTGTTTACACCAAATATTTTTTTTAAGAAAGAAAAAGGTATGAAACTAGAAACTGATGATCAACAGAAATGGCTGCCTGTGTAAGAGTCTATTAGCAAACAATTTGCAAAATTAAAAATTGACATTTGATCTGATGTGATCAAAAATTGATCTGCTCTGTTTAATTTTTTGCTCTTTGCAGATATCTATATGAATCAGCTTTTGTTTGGATGAATGTTCACAAGCAGGGATTTCCCAGAGAACAGCTGTATTTCAGAGCTGAGGATGACATATAATTCAACCAAGAAATGAATTTTGTTTCTAGCAGAAACAAAAACAGTTTACTGTAATTTAAAGATGAAAGCCAGTTTGATTTCACTTATATCAGTGTATACCCAGAGCAAGTTCTCTGGTCCTCTAAGGGTATGGCTAGAGTGCAGGGGGAAGGGGAAGGGGGGGCCGTTTTGGGTATCCTGAAAAAACTCGGCCATGCCCAGCAAATGTGTTTGCTCTTCTGCTTTAGGGGAGGGGGGCCCGTTTTGGGTATCCCGAAAAAACTCAGCCATGCCCAGCAAATGTATTTGCTCTTCTGTTTTTTTTTGTGGAATAGCAAACACACTCTTTTGGAAGCCCCTGTATTCCTCGTTCCACGAGGAAAAAGGGGGCTTTCGAAAGAGGTTATTTTTCCGAAATTTGGCCCAGTCTAGACAGGGCAAATATCAGAAAAGCCTCTTCCGACAAAAGTATCGGAAAAAGGTACGCAAAATGTGGAGTGCATTTTACTTATCTTTTTCTGATAGATTCTTGCAGTCTAGATGTACCCAAAGAGTTTCTACTAAGAAAAGAGTCTCATAGAGTGACATGTACAGATGTAAGTCAAGTGTAAGATATTCCACTTCTAGATAAGCCAAGTTTACATACAGCCCCTACTAGCTCAGTTAGGGACAGATTCATTTTGTCTTTTTTCATTTAGTATTTGCTTAACTGACCCTTCAGGTCTGAGTTGACTTCTCAGTTAGAGCACGTCTACACGGCAGTGTTATTTTGGAATAATGGACGTTATTCCGAAATAACATAGTCCATGTGTACACTACAAGCAGTTATATCGATATAATGTCGAACTAATGTCCAGCTGGAGGACGTCTTCCTCCGACTCCTGTACCCCTCATGGTATGAGGAGGAAGGGATGTCGGAGGAAGAGTACTTTCCTGCTGTGTGGACAGCGCCAAAAGCCGAAATAAGCTATTTCAACTTCAGCTATTCAATTGACGTTGCTCAAGTTGCATAGCTTATTTCGGCTTTAGCCCTGCTGGGTAGACGTGCCTCTACAGTTCTATGCATCACAGTACATGCAGTGATTCTGGCCAATGAATAATTAAATTCACATTAGTGTCTGGCTGCCAATAGTGAGTCTGGCTTGTTTCACACCTAGTGGCTGCTGTATCAAGGCAATTATCAAAGGGCGTGTTGTAACCCTTTCTAGAACCCACTCTCAATCACAGGGGGCAATATTGTGATTGTAATGTGAGAATGATCGGGGCTACATATATGCCCAGAATTCTTGTGGTATGTGACGCTATGTAACATGTCTCTTTCCTATTCCAGACCTTAGAAGGACACCAAGGCCCAGTCAAATGTCTGTCCTTCGACCAGTGGCATCTAGTGACAGGAAGCTCTGATGGATTTGTCCTGGGATGGAGCATGGTGGGAAAGCATAAGAGATGCCTAGTAGCTTTCAGGCATCCACAGTAGGTATCATTCGCACGTTGGAATCCATAGATAACCAATCTCTGTGTGTTTCCTGTAGCTCTGACTCAAAGAGGTGAATTCTGTTCCCTGCTTAGGAATGTGTCTGTAGTGTTAATTCACAGTTCTAATGCTTTAATATGTTCCCTGTCCTGCTGGGAAGGGTTTTCGTTGTACAGGAACTTGCTGTTATGCAGTGGAACTGTAGCTCCAGAGTAAGAAACTCCTGCAGAACAGATGGCTCTTGTGACGGGTCAGGACCCCGTTGGGACTGTCACCTGATGTGCTGAGACACCACGGAGTAGGCTTCCCTTGACAGCCTGGGCCTCCTCTAACCCTGTCTTGTTGAGCTTAGCTCTCCCGCCTGCTCCAACTGAGGCTGTGTCTGCACTTGCTCAACAAAACTTTTCTTGTGCCTGGATGCTTACATCCTCCCTGCCCCCGGTGAATGCTGCTTTGCCAGAGCAAAACCTATTCACTGGGGGTAGAAGTATTTTGTCGGCAAAAGTGCAGACACAAAGCATTCACACTTGCCGACTTGCAGGAGGGCTGCGTCAACCCAGCCTTGTCGCTTAACGCTGAATAGTGTCGACACACCCAAGACTCAGGGACAGGGCCACCCCCCAAGGCCTTCGATGCAGACTGAAAGCAGCACAGTGTGAGACCTCTTCCCAGCGCTCAAGTACATGTCCCCTTTGGGAGCTGAACCCTAGATAAATCAGTCTTACCCTGTTACAGGGACTGTGTAAGTTCACCCTCTTTCTCAATATAGAGAGAGATTCACAGTTCCTCACTTCCCCAGGTAGAAATTACTTATACTGGGTTTATTACTAAACAAAAGTGATTTTATTAAGTATAAAAAGATAGGATTGAAGTGGTCATAAGCGATAACAGGCAGAACAAAGTAGGTAACTGAACAAAATAAACAAACATGCAAGATAAACTTACTACACTATAAGATACTATTTATATGTAAGATTTCACCCAAAATTTGGTTCTAATGATCATCACAGCGCAGACACCCTCCCATTCGGCCCCCCATTCCTTCTTCCAATTCAGTCTTAGTTGTTCCAGCGTCATCTTGGGTGGGGAAGCTGGGAAGAACAGATTACTTGAATTACCTCACTCCTCAACCTTAAATAAGATTTGCATAAAATGGGAGACCCCTGTTTCCATTTTGACCCTCTCCCAGCTTCTCATGGAAACTTACAGAGCTCAAGATGGGTTTCAGGATCAGGTGACATGGTCACATGTCTCTGCAGCCATTTTTCACAGGCTGACCCACACTTTCCTCGGAATGTTAAACTCTTTTCTAGTTCATTGTCTCTCACTGATGGCTCACCGGAACTGTGGCCTTCTTCGTTGTTATATCCAAAGCATTAGCAGTGGGTGCTTATATCCCAGATCACTGGCAAATCACCCGCTGTGAATCAAGGAGTTCAGGAAAACAAGACCATTACAAGTTGCAACTGGTCTTAAACACAGTGGTGGCTGTGAATGATGGCTCTGTTCATTTTCTGAGTGTGCATATGTCCAATAAATTGTTTGGACTTCCTAATTTTGACATCCTTTCATTCTGAACAGTAACGATTAGGGGGGAATTTGCCGTCTGACTTTGATCCTCACCAGCCTCTTTTAAACCTGACTAGCTCTTGCATCTAATCTGTAGGCAGAGATGGACCTTTTTTACTCACCATTCCAAAAAGAACTTTGTTACTTCAATCATCTCACGTACGAATAAGGAATGTGCTTCTGCTCTGGTATTTTGTTTTCAGGGAAGTCCTGTATCTAGCGTTTCTGTATCTCCGAGTTATCAGTGGCTGTGCTGATGGAAAAATACGTATATTTAACTTCATGACGGGGACCTGCCTGAAGGTGATGCGGGCCAACAGCAGAGGTGACCCTGTGGTGTCCTTCTGCATTGTGGAAAACAGGTGGGCAGTAGCAGTTGCACTCACACTATGAGCTAGCTAGACAGATATCTTCTTGCTCAAGAAACCATGTCCCTCTTTTCAGCCCTGAAAGGTAGAACTTTTGTTATGAGGATTACGCTGGTTTATTGAGAATGGCGCACTGTGATATGTTATTCCATTAAATACGTGTGGTGTTCCGGTCTGGATTTCTAGCTAAACTTCCCCAACACATGGAACATTCATATCTGATGTTTTGACTTGAATCTATTTTAAAGACAGGCCAAATCTATAAAGTTCGGTCAAGATCGTGACCTGAATTTCCTAAGTTTGGGTAGATTCAGGATCACACCCACCTTAGCACAGCGGTATTTTATTGCATTTTCATAGATGCAAGAGATGGAAAAGGCCTACTCGCCATATACATCCTTGTAGACAAGAATAGGGTTGCTCCCTACTGTATGTTTCCCAGGGGTTTTTTTTCATCCAGATGCAAGGGTCCCTTGCAACAGTACAACCACCATTTCCCTTGAAAGCTATTTCACAGCCTAGCAGTCAGAAAACTTTCGTTTAATTTTTCCTTTTCATGATTTCATACTATTATTGCTAGTTGTACATAGCAATGAATGAACGCAACAGTGTACTTTACATTTCAGGTTACATTAACTGGAATATGCTGGGTCTAATCACAAGGGCTGGCAACAAGCTAAACCCTGCTCATTTTCTTATCCCCAACAGACAATTGCAACTTCAATTCTAGTTCCGTGCCTTAGTGTTTGTAACAGCGCACACACAAGCAATCTGTCACGACAGATGACTGCTACTCCATTATTACAATGTGTTTCTTAGCACGGTTCCTCTTCTCTTCCTAGGATGGTGATCAATGCTCTAAGCAGCGTGCTGATGTTCCAGTTTGAGGACGTAGAGTGGGACTACACACTAGAGGCTGATCGAGCGGAAGAAACACAGGATAAGGAAAAGCAGAAAGACATTAGGATCAAAATGCAGGGCTATCAGCACGATCGTGCTCGACGCGCCAAACGGGATGCAGCTAGCCACAGGAAGATATATCAATATCCCACGGAGCAAGCAGATGAGGACCAGATAATGTTGTCATACATGATTCGCCGTCAGTCAGCAAGGAACTCTGGGGCACCTCCAAGTACTAGTCTATCTTACATGCTATAAGCCGGCTCCCAGGAGCTCCGGCTACAGACCCTGCTCCCAGGGAGCCATATTGCACTGTGGGCTCTGCCAGCCCCACTCCTGGGGCACCTGCCCCGCTACCAGTAGGGAGCTGGCTGCCCTGCACTGCGGGCTCCAGTATAAGACTTATACTGCAGCCGGCACGTGCCAGGAGCCCACCTGCTCTACTGCGGCACTCACAGCGCAGAGCAGATGGCTCCCCAGGAACGGGGGGGCATCCCTCACTATCCCTTCTCTAGTCCCACTCGGCTGTACATCCCCCAAAATGGGTAACCACATAATCAGTAGGAATTTTAACTGTTACACAGTAAGGCTGTGTCTACACTGGCATGAATTTCCGGAACTGCTTAAAACGGAATACTATTCCGTTTTCAGTTTTTCCGGAAAAGGAGTGTCTACATTGGCAGGCTGCTTTTCCGGAAAAGCCCTTTTTCCGGAAAAGCGTCTGTGGCCAATGTAGACGCGCTTTTCCGGAAAAGAGCCCCGATCGCCATTTTCGCGATTGGGGCT